CGCGGCGCAACCTCGGCGGACCCGCCGGCACACGTGGCGCCCACGAGGCGGCACAGGCTGCAACGTGGCGCGTGCTCTGCTGACCAGCGCGACGAACGGGGCGCCCAGGAGCGCTCACGAGGCGGCACGGAAATGGCAGCGTGGAAAGTCCTCGGCGGACCCAAACAACTACTTACTTCAGACAGAGAAGTAGTAAGAACCTCTAAGTGCAAGCACCGGTTGGGGAAAAGGTCTTTCAAGGGGGGCCCACGCTCGGGGGCTCCTGGGGTCTTTGGAACCCGGAGACCCTCGCGAAAATCCTGAAAGCCTGGGCAGCCTTTCGCAAACCAAGACGAATGCCCGACGTGGACGTGGTTGTGCGACACTTGCTCCATAACAAGAAAAGCTGGGAGCCCAGTTCCGATTCTCGAATGTTTGCAGTGAGTGTCTGCACCTGGGGGCCCTTGCTTGTTTTACTAAGAAATTGGGTGGGCAGCCAGAGGATGTTCTTGGTGGCCGCCCCGTGGCCCCTCGTGGCCGCCCGGTGACCGCCGGTGGCCGCCCGACGTAGCTTGCACCACATAGCTTACACCGCATAGCGTGCACCACACAGATCGCACCACTGAACTTGTACCACATAGCCTGCGCATTGCAGATTGCACCACGTACATATATGGCACAACACAACTTACACCGTACAGCTTCTACCAAATCTGTTGTTCCACATGCATTGCGCCACACAGCTTACGCCTCACAGCTCACACCACATACATCACACATCATAGACCACAACACGTCGCTTTCACATCCACAGTGCAGCATCTCACTGTTCGGGGCCCACGCTGACAAACATTCGAAAGTTCCAACAACAACAACAACAACAACAGCAACAACAACAACAAAGTCTGGAGTCCATCGAAATCAATAATTGTCTTAAGACGTCTGATGGCTGTAATCAGAACACACGCGCGTCGGGCCTCATTATGTCGCGCTCACCTGAATACTCTGCGAGGGAAGGCAGGTACTGACAGAGAGGAGGGAGGATTCTCTCTTCCTCCTGCACCTCCTGATCCTGATCATGTTGTTCACATGGTATTGCAATCAGGGAGTATGGTAGGACCGTCCTTGGCACCCCCCCCACCCCAGATTCCCCCCGCCCCTTCAATCCCACTGTAGTGAGTCCAATCTCGGCCCACACGTATCAATCCTGGCTGACTAGGCCCAACCCTAACCACCACGTATGGAGTTCACTCGTACCAATCCCGGAAGCCCCTACATATCAGCTACATGCTCAACCATTCGATAAGTACTGCGGGCACGCTTCAGCGTGTACAGTTCTTGTGATCTGCCCTGCCAAAACTGGAACAACTGTAAGTCCTCCTGTCTTTATCGGCCGTCTTGTTTGCAACGACAGATGGGTTTCAGATCTGCGGGCATGTACACTGTTCATATGCATGCGTCTGTTCATGGATCTGCTCACACATACATATATATATCAAACTAAATTCACTGAAATGATCAGGCCCTCAAAGACCTGCAAATATCTTCAAGGATCCTCAACGACACCTGCGGATTCGTAAGGACCCTCAGCGAACATCCATCATATGCTCGATGAAGCTTGCCAAAATCAACGAGGATCTTCAACGATCCCCAAGGGCATCGAAGAATCCCGGAAGATATTAAAGGACTCTCTATGATTCTAAGGACCTCTGACGGACCCAGAAGGGTCCCCAAGGATCGTCCAAGATTATCCAAGAACCTCAAGGACCATCAATCGTGCTTATCAAGAACACCGAACACCTGATGGACCTTCAAAGACTGCCAACGACCGTCCAGGATCCGCAAGGCGCTTGACGAATCACCAAGACATTCCAGGACAAGCAAGGAACCTCTCTGATTGCCTGAAGTCTTCAAGGAGCCTCGTGGGCCTTAAAGTATCCGTAAGGGCCCTCGGGCACCTTCAAAGACCCCCAAGGCCTCTAAGATACCACAAAGGACCACACCATGTCTCCAATGACCCTCCAAGATCTTCGAGGGACCACTGGGCCATCTTGGATGTTCAAAGGCCCCGAAGGACCAGATCTTCAAACCTCTTGAAGAAACCACGATGACCCTCAACGACACTGAAGGATTCGAAAGACGATCTAGGATCTTCGAGAACGACCTTGAACGGCCCCCAGGGAACCTCAAGGATCTACACAAGGACCCTGAGGCACCTTCAAGGAACCCCAAGGACGATCTTCAAGGGCGCCCCCCCCCCCAAAAAAAAAACGCGGCGAAGCACCCTACCCTGCAGCCGCAAGCAACGCAGGATACAGCCCTGTCTTCATGGGCTCGCCCCTGAAGCCGAAATCGAGGAAAGAAAGAACACTGGCGATGAAAAAAACAATCCTTCGGAGGTCGGACATGTTTGGTCGCTCCAGGTCCAGAGGCCTGGCGACACCCACCAGGCTGAACAGGGAGCCAGCCTCTCCAGCGATACACGGACCAAACAGGGAGTCCGTGAAGGTTCTATGTTCCGCTACCAGACAAGGCGACACCCAGGGACCTGTGAAGTGCCCTCTCCAGCTACCGCACAGGGAGCCTCTGCAAGATACCTCTCCAGCGACACCCGACCTCTCTGGAGACACAGGGACGGGACGAAGAGCATCTGCAGGTTCCCTCTCCGGCGTCACCCGGACAGGCGACATTGAGACCCCTGTCCCGCCACGGCACGCGTGAGCGGGTGGTGCCGAGATGAGACGGCGGCCGCTGTGCGAACCATGCCACGGGAGCCTCGGGGGGAGCTCCCTGTGGGGTCTCGAAGAATTGAGGCGGTAGCCGCCATGCGAACCACTGGGGCCGTCGGCGGAGCTCCCCCTGGTGCCTATGGGGCCACGAAACGTGCGAGGGTGTGCCAAAATGACTTTACGTGGTCACAGAAACTTGCGATACGTGTGCCGAAATAGGCACGCGGAACATGTGATGCGTGTGCCGAAATGGGCAGGGGGATGGCAGAGGCAAACAGGGCCGGGGATGCGGATGGCAGAAGCAAGGGCTGGGACTACATGAGGAGAAGGC